CAATACATACTTAGTTTCGACTTAAACGATTAAACAATGTAAAATAATAAATATCTGATATTCTTTACTAAAATAAAAAATCCCTTATTAATATTGTGACATTTAGATTTTCTCACCAAATCGTGACTAAAACAAGTGAAGGGATTGCAAACTATCCGCTTTTTGCAACATTGCATTCAAAACTGTAATGCCGCAATTATTTTTTTCTAAAATTTATATGTAGGTACGCTCAACACTCCTTTCAAGCCATAACTACAACTTTTAAAATACAAATAAATATCTTGATGCAATTAAAAATATTCGCGCCATTAGTGAATGAAATTCGGTTGCGCAACTCAGAACAAATAGTCTGAATCTCTAGAGCACCCAAGACACCAGCCTCGGAATGTTTGCCAGAAAGAAAGTATGTCAGATACCGAAAATTAATTGTTACGCAAGTTTATATAAATTTATGGGTGTTAACATCAATTAGCTGTGGAACAGATACATACATAACTTATTAGACAATTGGTGCACGTGTTTTTAAGGTTAAAGAAAAAAATGATCACGTATTAAGTTTTATTTGGGTTAAACAGTTGTACCATTTTTTAAAATTGTTTTAACTATAAAAAAACACGGAAAAAACAAATTATGCTAAAATCACAAAAAAGTACAGCAGCCATTTTCCAAAATCCTGTACAAAAGTTGTAAAACTGGCTAGAAAAAATATAACTCCAGTTCTTCAATTTTCATATTAAAAATCAACAAAATTCGTTCTTAAAACCTCGAGGTAATATGATGGGTTAGTAATGTCCAACTTTAACTTTCAGATAACGGTTCAGAGTGACAACCATTCACCTACAGCTCGAGGCATTGGTACCGCTAAATAAAACTCACACAAGATATACAGGGCTAAGAGGCCGCAACCAAAGTGAACAAATTTAAAAAAAACGCGTCGTGATTAACCATTGGTAGTTATAATAAGGCACGATGAACTTGATGGTGTTCTCTTCTTATGAAGTTATGGCATGACATGGGCAGTGTAATTGAAGGAAGAAGATAGATTGTTTAAATAAGGTAATTATGTTTTGAGTATGCTTATTAAGTTTTAAATTCATGATAATTTTATAAACATATTTTATAGTATAAAAAAAAGTTTTAAATATTGTGTCCACAATTTTTATTCCATAACATCTAACACGAAATTCTTTTGTAATCAAATTATGGAGGACCTATAAATATTATTTGAAATAATATTTATAGGTATAAAGTACCCATATAGGGTAAACCACATAGTTATTGGACACTTATTGGAATATTATTTATTTAAAATTTTATTTAAATAAGAATATTTGAATTTTTAATAATAGTTTTATAAAAACATGCAAAGAAGTATAGTAATTGGACATTTTATATAGTAATTGGACACATGGACCATAGTTAATGGACAAACAATTTTTATATAAACGTAACAACTTTACATCAAATAATATAAATTGTTAAATATTTTTTAAAGATAAATTGCTGTTTTAGGTAATTTTTTTTATTTCGTTTTTGTAAATATCATATAATTCATATATTTCTTTCTCGGATTCCTCATCCCTTTTCTGGATTCTGAAGGTAACTACTAATTCCTTGGTCTGACTTCTGAAATAGTTTGTTGCAAATATCTCTAGTTTGAGAAGCATTTATAATGTTTAGGCCGAAACAGGATGATTTATATATATATATATATCTAATATTTTTTCGGGTGACCAATAAATTCGGAAAATACTTTTAACATACCAGTATGTTAAAAGTATTTTCCGAATTTATTAATTTTGTTGCCATTAGTTTTTTATGTTCTCTATCATGCACTGTATTTAAAGCACTGTTATTCTGCAAGATGTCTACTTACTCTCAAAAAAGTCATAGCGAAAAAGCAGCCACTAATAATTCTCGTCAACAGCAATTTGTATCCAGGACATTTAACAGTCAATTCCTATGAAATATTATTCGCTGAATCTGAAAATGTCGTGAAAAGTTATAAAAGTAGAACAGTTTTTGAAATATAATCAATTTTACATATAATATTGAATTGACTATATCTCAAAAACTGCTTAACTTTTATAGTTTTTGACGGTCTTTTCGGATTCAGGGGACAATTTTACATAAGAATAGGCTGGTAAATGTCCGGGATACAAATAGAGTATGATATTGGACGTATGTCCAATAATAGAAATTTACATTTTTTACCAACCAGTAATTGGACACTGGCCATTTTACTGTTTGTTTTCAGAATTAAAATTAAAACACATTAAAGGGACAATGTTTAAACCATGAGGAACACATTTATACTACACACTGATATGGACACTTTTTAAAAATATTTTTTGTTGTAATTTAAACACAGCTCTGCTCTTAACAAAAAACCAAAAATCTTACCACCAAAGTTACGTGCGAACTGTTTTGTCCTATATTGGACCCAAAATAAAGTAGTTCTATATTATTACCGACTGAGATAGTTATAATTGTATACAGCGTCATCTAATGATTTGACTTTAAGGTACTACTTTACCCCATGTACCTATGTAAAAAAATAATAATATGAACACTAAAATCAACATCTAAGACATAAGGGATGCTTTTATGACTCAAGCAAAGAATAAACAGCGTCTGTTTTCCGTCAGTAACTGGTTCTATTTGAAATAAGAGGAACTGGAAGCTCTTACTCCAAGTATAGTTTCATTCCAATATCTCACAAAAATAAAGCTCACACTTCTATTTCAAAGTTTTCAGAAGAAGCCGTAGGTGGTTGTGAAATTGCCACACACGTATCTTTACTCTTCATTTCTGCATATTTAGTTTTGACCTTTTTTTTCCCGCTGTCTCTTTCTTCCCCTTACTGTAGTTTTAATGTCAGCACTTCTCAAGCTACTTGAAAAATCTTTTTTTTGCATATGTACATTTCCCATGTTTAGTAAATAACACAATACCAAGAAAGTAGGTACGTATGAAAAACTGGTCCACTATTCATGCAAATGTCTGTTATATGACAACAATATAAAATTCGTCCCATGTTTCATTTACTATGTTTCATAAAGACCTGAGATTCTTATTGTCTTATAAAAGTTGGATAACAAAATTTAATTTAAGAAAATTAAATTTGCGGTTTGTTATACAATTTTTCTATTAGCCAAAAGTACATTATTATTCATTGCACGCATTTTTATTGCACAATTTTCAAATGACTTGAAACCAAGATCAATTTTTTTGATTAAATCTCTTTAATTGCGGTGTGTGAGAACCAGGTTAGAAAATCACTTTTTCTTCAAAGTTTTTAATTCGCTCTGTATTGTTTTGTGACTCGTGTTTAGGAAGTTGTTACGTAACTTTTGTTTTTTAATACTTTTATTTGTCCTCAATGCTGCCTGATAGTTGAATCTTGTAATCGATTTTTAAGTCACTTGTTGTTCTTAAAAAATGTTCTTGTTTATTTTATTTTTTTTATTTGAATGTCAACAATTCAACTAAGAATCAAGTGTACTGTGTCGCAATGCAGCACACTCAATAGGAAAGCTTGACTGTGTCAATGACGTACAATCCCAGTAGGCGGAATTCTTGGTAAATGTTGCCGATGTCATCTTCATATAATTTACAGTTACTTATGTAACACTTTTGATTTCGATTATAATTCATATTAATTGCGCATTTTGCCCTTTGAATTATGGAAATATGTATGAGATGATTGTATTATGATTTACGACGGCATATTGATAAGTCTTTGGAATTTCCAAAAGATGGGGCCACAATTAAAAAATGTAGGCACGATTGACAAAAACAATCCTTCAAACGATTACTGTCAAAATTTCAGATCAATCTGTCAACAAGTTTTGATAGTCTCTAACTGCCGAATTTCACCATGGTCTACATCTAAAACGTTCTGGACATCCAAATGAGGCACCATCATCACAGAAATCTTCCAAATCAACTAAAGGATAAATGTGTAAGATTGGTTAAAACCATTACAAAATCAAGGAGTTACGCTGGGAATTGCTAAAGCAACCTCTGTATTTGGCCACCTGTGATTTTTTTCAAAAACTGAAAAAATCGTTGGCTGAAAATATAAATGCCTCAAATGCAGAATATGTTTTATTTTTGTCTAAAAAGATCAAATTCTGGAGGAATGAAGAAGTTAGAGTATCATTTCTATCATCAATTTGGCCCAAAAGATTGCATTTTTATACTTATTCTAAGGACTTATCAAATTGCCCTCGTATATTTAGGTAAATAAGAGACAGTTCTGACGTATCTCGGCAAAACAAGGCTTGTTAAAGTCAAGGGAAACTAAATTTATAAATTGTTTGTTGAATAGTTCGGTATTTTACTTTTAAATAGCAAAGTAAAATATTATAATGAAATTTGCAAAAATGGCGGATGCGCAGTACTGAAGTCAACTAGCAAATTTAATAATGGTAGCTTCTATGACTAGTACTAGTACTAATTAGTAAAAACTATCTAATCTTTCATTTTACAAGATACTTTATTTAAAAAAACTGCTTCACAAGGATATCGCATTTTTAATAGACTTAAGGTAGCTGAACTGTACATCTATGTTATTAGCATCGACAAGGTATAACATTTAATTGTAAGCAATGCGTGAAATATAACTTAAAGAATAGACCCAAGTCATTCACTCATCAATGCTAAACAGAGCAGTACTTAAAAATAAATTACTTTTACTTTCGTGGTCTCCATAAAAACCTTAAAAGTTGTGGTCGATTCTACTCATTATACAAACGGATTTATCTAATGAGATTACCAAATGAGAAAATGAACTTTTAGTGTATTCAAATGAATTATTAATTAAAAACAAACTTAATTTAATACGGACCTTGACGCGTCCGTTATTCCAATACACTTATACGTATAAACCGTTACGTTACAATGCAAAGCTACTACAGCAATGATTAATTCTTTATTTGTAATCAACACCTAAAATGAACCTCAAGAACTAATTAACGTTTTTTAATTTTAGTACCATGAAGAAACGCAGCACATTCAGCGTGCTGATCTCGGCCGCGCTATTTTCCATAGCGACAGCCCAATGTCCCTGGCAACGCGAAGTCCCAGATCTGCAGTCGGCGTGCTTGTGTTCTTACAACTTGGGACACGAGTTGTCAGTACAGTGCGACATTGTGGACTGGCCGAAATTAATAGGGGCACTTAATAAGTACGCCACCAGCACACCTTTGGACTTATTGTATGTGAATAACTCCACCATTAACGTGTTGAAGGACAATGTCATCGCGAATTTGCAAGTGCAGAACATTCAGTTGTCCGGGTGCAGAATCAAATCCGTGCAAGGCGGGGCTTTCAACGGCCAGGAGATGCACCTGAAGAACCTGAATTTGCAGGACAACGATTTAAGTGCAGTGCCGGTAGAAAGTTTGAAGAAGTTGAGGACTTTATCCTTACTTGATTTATCGCATAATTTGATCTCCACTGTACCTCCAGGTGCGTTTGAGACTCTAGGAAAGTTATCCACATTAAAACTATCTGATAATAACGTAACTCTGGAAGATGGTGCGTTAAGAGGTCTGGAGGGCTCCTTAAAAAATTTAAACCTAAAAGGCACAAGGCAAAAAGAAATACCGGAGGCCGTTAGAAACATGAAAACCTTGGCTTTCTTGGATTTATCACAAAATAGCCTCAGAGAACTACCGGGTTCAACGGAATCCTTCACAGGTTTGGAATCTTTGACAGCTTTAAACCTGGAAAGAAACCTCATACAAACCCTAGGCGAGAACGCCTTTCAAGGAGTGCAAAAAACCTTAAGTTCCCTGAGCTTACTCAACAATCTTTTACCTGATTTCCCCACGAAGGCTATGAGTCAATTAAAGGAACTCAGAGTTCTGGATATAGGTTTTAATTTGCTCACCGAGCTACCGAACAATGCCTTTAAAGGTAACCCATCTATAACTCTCTTAGCTCTGGATGGTAATCCGTTAGCAACCATACCTTTCGAGTCCTTATCTCACTTGAATAACACTCTAAGAGGTTTGAGTTTAGGCGGCAGATTCTTACACTGCGATTGTAGATTGGCCTGGGTTATCGAGTGGATTCGTAACGGAGATTTGCAAGTGACGAGTCGTGAAAGAAATCCCCAGTTCTGCGGTAGCCCACCTAGGTTTAGAGATAGAGGGTTTTATAGTATAATGCCTGAGGAACTGTCTTGCAAAAAGGAAAACACTGTTAAAACAACAACAACAACAACAACAACGTCCCCACCACCAATTATTGTAAAAGAAGTAAAAGAGTCAAACGACGCGATTGGTGTTGCCACAGTTGTCAGTGCTGATTTAGATGACGTTCAGGTTGCACCACAACCTAGTTCTACCACTACCACGAAACAACCTACTACAAGGGTTACATCGACAACATCTACCACTTCTACGACAACCACTAAACTCACCACAACAGCAAAATCCACAACCATGAAACCCAAAGTAAGAACTACACCGCCTGTGTGGAAAACTTCGATCAGACCCTCATTGGTGATGAGTTTCCCATCGAAAAAAACCGAGGAGAGCAAGGAAGTAATAGTTAAAAATGCATTTAGGCAGGATAGTTCGGTTATTATACAGTGGGGAAGCGAGACGGCAAATATCTTAGGATTTAGAGTTGTTTACAGACTATTCGGAGATAAAAGTTTCAAGCAAGGTCCACCACTAGAAGCTAGCGAACGAGAGTTCAAAATTAAAAACGTCCCATCGCAGGTAAATAAAAACTTTCTCAAACTATTCAATTAACCAAGAGTAAATTTTATTGCGAAACTTTAGTTTGCTTAAGTATTAAAAATAAAACGTTCACCGGTACACTGATTGCTTCACGCCAATAATTAGTGCACTATGAGAGAGATTGAAAAAGGAAATTAAATGTAGTGCATAACATTCATTCGCGTTTAACCTTAACTTTTTTATTACTGCTTTAATGGACATTTACGGAAATAAAACAATCTATTTTCATTTTAGGAATGCATTATTGTATGTGTGGTATCATTGGAGGAAATAAACGTGACCCCCGAATCAGTTCCCTTCTCACAATGCAGGGAAGTGCGAACAGTATCATCAGCTTCATCGAACATGGATAAAATCACGATAGCTGCTAGTGCAGCTATTTGCGGCACCATCGTGGTGGCTGTTATAGTTTTCGTGGCGGCATCTAGGAGGCGGTCGAGAAAGTTACACGAACTACATCAACAAAAAATGGGGATGAAACATGGAATGCCCATTGCAGGTTTGCCGGTGAATTGCTGCACAGGGATGGGACCGGGAGAACCTTTGTCATCGTTGGCCACTTTAAGTGCCTTTAACAATAGCAAAGTAAGATTTTTTTGTATGCAGCTAAGGTTGTTTTTAACTTTACTTTTCTTAGGATTGGGATCAAGTCTCAGGATATAGTACGCATAGCGCCCAACGGCCTAGAATGATATATGGTGAACAACCCCCATCTTTAATTCAGGACGATATGAGATCGCATTTTAGCCAGAAAGGTAATAAACCAAGATCCATAGCCGATGGCCAATCGCAGCACAGCTTCTCGAATCATTCCGGAAGATATTTGACCAATAACGTCTTTCCCAACAACCTACTGGCGTCCAGACAAGGTATAAAGCTTTATAAAAATCTATTTCACTCATACCAACGTATTTTTCTCTTTTTTAGACTTGAGACAGTCCAGGCAGTCTCTGGCAATGCAATCTGACAGAATGTCTTCAAGAATGCAGGCACATCACGCTCCTGCCCACTCCATAGCCTCATCTACGCGTAGATCTAGGCCTAGATCCAGGTCCAGGGACCACCACAGGCCCAGCAGCAGATACAGCCAAACAGGTTCAACTCACACGTTAAACAACTATTGCGACAACTCGGATAACTGGACTGATCACGACATGGATATTTATATGGCGAGAAATCCCACCACAAGAAACGGACTTGTACCCTTGTGACTTGCTCAATAATAATACTGATTGTGTAAGAGTACTATTTTTTATATATAGACAGCTTGTATTTGTCTAGTCAAGACACTTTGTAAAGTACTTAATATTCTTTAATAAAAGTATGTCATTTTATTAAATGGATAGCGTTTATCGAACAGGAACCAAGCGCAAAAAACTTTTTCTGGAGTTAACTAAATTATTTGCAAAATAACTCCTTTTTAATGCTGCTCAAAAAATTAATAATGATTTGGGAACCCTCTCAATCCTTTTGAGAAAAGTTCCAAATGATAATCAACCTTTTGAGCATTATTAAAAATAAGTTATTTTACAAATATTTTTATTAAGCCCAGAAGAACTTTTTGGCGCTTGGTTCCTTTTCGATAAGCGTTATCTAAATAACAAACTAAGAACTGACTTAGGCATTAGCCAAAGTATAAATACTTTAAAACGGTACTATTAAATTATATTACGACTTAATTTTTATACGTATTTTTTGCACACAAAAAAAAAACTTCCCACTTTATTCACTCAAAAAAAAAACAATAAATTGCGGAAGTTTTCAGTTACTTGTGTTCGAAAATTTTTATAATTAGGCTTAAAATTAAAATCACATTGTGATTTCAAAATGTAAATAACTTTAAAAAAGTTAACTTATAGGTAATAGTTTAAGTATAAATAATTTTACTGCGTTATTTTAGTTTTTATAGTTGTAAATATTTATGTATTTACTTGTAAAAATAAACATAAAAATCAAACAAGTCTATTATTTCAAAACCAACACTTCTCGTATCGCCATCTAGTAGCAATATTGCAAACATTTAGTTGATCTACTTGCCGTTAGAGGGCGAATAAAGCATTACCTAGGATTAATCATTTTACTGCGTAATTTAGTTAGTTATATTTGTAAATATTCATTTACTTACTTGTAAAAAGTTTTTATGGTTGTAAATATTTATGTATTTACTTGTAAAAATAAACATAAAAATCAAACAAGTCTATTATTTCAAAAACCAACACTTCTCGTATCAATAGCGCCATCTAGTAGCAATATTGCAAACAATTAGTTAATCTACTTGCCGTTAGAGGGCGAATAAAGCATTACCTAGTATGAATATTTTTACTGCGTAATTTTATTAGTTATATTTGTAAATATTCATTTATTTACTTGTAAAAATAAATATAAAAAAATCAAACAAGTCTTTTATAATAAGTTTTCTTTTCGTACCAAATTGTACAGTGAATTTACACAAGTAAAGTCGCTGTACCCAATCGCTATCAAAAGCGCCATCTAGTAGGTAGCAATATTGCAACATTTAGTTTATCTACTTGCCGTTAGAGGGCGCGTACAGCACTTAATCACGTTTTTAGCGTTTTTATTTAAAATAATATAGTTTTAAGAATATTGTCATTAAAGGGTGACTTACCCGGGTATAGGCATACTTTTTTCCCACCTATAACGCATTTCTTGTACAAATTCATACCAGATATGGGCAAAAGCTTTAACTCCTCCCAATGATTGTAAAGCATGTGTTAAAACAATTGATAATCTCCATATTAAGGAATCTTGTGGACAAGTTTTGAAGCTTTTTGAGTCTTGTTCCAAATTTATAAACTTATTTTTCTAAAAAAATATCATTAAAATATTATATAATTAAAATGGCCAAACTTACTGTTGGAGAATCCTTTTCATTATTAGAATCTCTTCCATAAGGATACGTGGAACTCTCATCAGCATCAGGGAACAAAAAATACAGCAAAGGCACCAAAACGTTCTCTGATATAGGAGGCACACCTTTATGATGTTTATTAATAGTAGATCGTGCAGCTTTATTTAATAAAGTTGATATAGTGGGAACTGCAGGTTCAGTTAATAAATCTAGAGGATTATTAGTTTCTGGTGTAGTGGTATTGTTAGCATAATCACCCAGTGAATCATATACATTAGAATGGTTACTTAGTAATTGGTAAACCTCAGTTAAGCCATCGCCGAGTAAACATAATGGCTCTTTAGTCATTTGTGCTAAAATTGACCATATTGGGGCTCTATGGGGATCAAAGTCAGTGTAACTTTCACTATCAACTACTAAATGTTCCGGCAATTGTTTCCATGTAGATTTTAAAATAATGGATTTGATGGGTTCCACAGTTACTCCAAATGGTAAACGTACATTTTCCATATCAATAATTTCTGAATTATTTGAATCTTGCTTCCAAATAAAGTTTCCAAAATCACTCAAAACATAAGTTAACTGCACTGAACACATAATAGGGTCCATTGAACATGGCGACATAATTTTGGTTTTAAACAAGTCTAGTAACCCTGTTAAATATTGACAATGTTGTGGACCTCTTCTTAAATGTACCATTTCAAAGTTAGTTCTTACCCCATTGCCCTCAAAAACCCCCATAAAGCATTTTTGCCACTTATCCCTAATCTGAACAAAAATTGGAATATCATTGTTTACGTTACTTGACACTATATAAACAGAGCTTAATAATATCTTAATGCGACTCTCAGAGTTAATACCAACGTTTCTTGTGGGTGTTAAAACCATAAACTCGTCCAAACCATACCAGGTTGATATACATGATTCATTTGTTAAATCTGCCTCGCTAAACATCTCAAAATCAAAATTACCACTCACAGGATTTCTACTCCTACTATCACTATCACTGCTCTCAGAAACCTCCTCAACATCCTTCTTTTTATACCAGTAAAAAGTGAAATCAAAATCCGCGAAAATAATGTTCTCCTGCCTCACACTCCATATGCTTTTATTTTCTTCAATAATCACCTCATCAGTTTTCCACTGATTTATAATCTCCTCCATGCGTGCTATAAAAATCTCCCATTCCGACGCAGTAGTAAAATCCTGCGTGTAAAATTCACTGTCATCTATTTCTTCGTTCATTGTTGCTATTTGATATTTGTTGACAAATAAACGTCAAAATATAACCTCTATTTAGTTGACAGATGAAGTTTCTATGTATTAACGCCAGATAGCGTTAAAAAACAGTTTTCTCACATACTGTGCATGATATCATGCATACTGTGTGGTTTTCTTCTAATGGTAGTTCCATCATAGATGGCATAAATAAAAACAAATGTTTTTGACAGTTTTCTACCAGACATCTTGTAAAAGTGTTTTATAAAGTTATCTATGCATAAAGTTTTCTATATCGCATTTTAAATGATGATTTTGGGTAAGTAATACAATTTAAATCATTAATAAACCTTTATTTATTTCTTACGTTGTCTATGCGCTATGAAACAATATAATTTGTTAGGTTTACTGTATTTTTTTCTCGTATTTATCCAGTTGGAGTATGATATAATGGAAAAAGGCTAAAATAGCGAAAGACCAGCTAAGTGGGAGCCATCCAGCTTTAATCCAGGCCCAGAAGGACAATCTAGAAAGGCATTTATGTAGTAATTGTCGTATTTATTAATATTTAATATATCAACACCCAAAAGTCCCAAGGTGCACCTTGACATTTGAACCTAGACATTGGTTTAGGCCACAGACCACAACCTAGACATTGGTTTAGGGCCTAAACTTTAGGCATTTGAATACAAATAATTGAGCGTACCTATCTACCTGCCAGTTTAACGCTAATTTCGTCTTATGTTCTGAAAATAATACAATAGGTATACAATATACAATTTATTATGTATTTTTTGTGTTCTAAATTAAGACCTTTATACACAAAAATAATATGAAATTAGCGTAAAACTGACATTAGGATAACCTCAATTATTTACCCAAGCAACAATTTAAGTATATGAGGCTCAGTAGTTTATAACTTCCAGAATAACAATATAATGTTTAATTAAGCAGGTAAATTTATAAACCCTTTAAATTTTACTGATAAACTTAAGAATTTAGTTTTGTAAAATAAATGCATCAATATTTAAGTATAAACAAATTATTTATTTAATAATGTTTATAAATAAAAAAATCTTAATATTTATTATTAATTTTTTTATTTAATTATTAATACCGTCTATTACCAACAAAATTACTATTTATTAAAAAGTAAACAACCATTTACAAACAATTAAAATAATTTATTATTTACATTACCACGTGGTACCTACTGTAAGTAAAAAATGGCCGATAAGAAGCATTTTCCTTTGAAGTAGTTTTCGCTACTTTAAAGTTTTTTTCCACCTTAATTTACTTTACGGTAGTTTTGGTTAGTACCATAAACGTTCCAAATACTAAAATAATAACTTTGTAGTTTTTAACTCATGTTCCAGTTTCGAGATTTTAACTTGCAAAGGGACTACAAAGTAAAAATAATTTTATTGTAATCTTTAGGTAACAACCGAAAGTAACTGCTACAAATTAAATTTACTTGAAAGTTTTTTTTTACTTATAACACCTAAAGTGGCAAAGTCTTCTTGGGGGCAACCAAGTTTTACTTAAATATTTATTACTTTATAATAACCATTTAAGGAAAGAATTAAGTTTCTGTTACAAAATATTGCTATTTAAAAGTTGGAATTAATGTAGCTGTTTAGTATACTTAACTAATTTAAAGTTATCACCACTTTGACAATGGTTTTTGGAACCAAAAATGCTACTTGGGTATATTCAAATGTCCAAAGTGGGTCTTTTGAGTTTGGAGCGTAGTGCTTACTCGTAATTTTCTGCGGTATCGTACATATTCGTGTTTATTTTATAAATATCGCATTTTGAGATTGTTACTGTTTTCTTAAGGCGATCTTGGACGTCGGTTCTCATGTGTTCTATCTTGTGGACTACTCTATGTCCAAATAACACCTTGAAGAAGTTTTATTATAGTAACTTTATGTGATATTTAATTTTTTCTTACTTTTCCAAAAATAACGTGTTTTCCGTCTAACCATGGGGTTGCCATAGTGGTTACATAAAATTGGCAACCGTTTGTGTTGGGGCCTGAGTTAGCCATACCTAATAATCCTGCGGAAGTGTGGTTTATAGTGAATGTTTCATCATTGAAATGTTCACCGTAGATACTTATAGAGCCTGTACCGTCATTATTTAATATATCACCTCCTGAGATGTAAAAAATTATTAGTAGTCTATCAAAATGATTTCCACTTGTTACCCAAGATCATGAAACGTTTGACAGCCCTCAGAATTTTCGTGTTCGCATAGGTTTTGCCTTCAATACCTTCACTAGCGATGACTTTGAAGTTTTCTACGGTTTTCGGGGCCAATTCACCAAATAAACCGAAAATTACGCGTCCAAGGTCTTCATCGCCCCTTTTGAATTCCATGTAGACTTGGTCTGTCACTTTATACTCAGGAAGGGAAGCCTAAAAGATTTTAGTTTGTAAATATGAGATTCGTAAATACTAATAATAACATTTATTATCATACCCATACTCCTGATGTAAGAAAAATCAATATCACAAAAAAACTAGGCTTTAAAAACATTTTTACTCTATATTTTAACGATGCTGTTTTACTCTAAACTGTTCTAGATATATTAAATCGATGTTTATTTGAAGCAGACCTGAGTAATAACATAACTTAATTAGTGGCTGTGCGTAGCTCTTAATTTAATTATTCTGTTTACTTTGTCTAATTGAAATTTTTTGTGAATTAGGGCTTCAATTAAATATAAAAAAAGATGCGTGTACTTAAGTACGCGCTTTAGAAGTTGGCGTAACTAAAAAAATTGTTTCGCATGCAAATAATGCAAATTATATTTATTGTAAAATTTCAAGTCAGTATTCCAAATTTTATTTTTCTTTTAAAGTTTTATAATTTAATTTCTAATTTATACTTTTGTACCTCATTTCACTTATCCTTTACCTATGAATGACAAAAAATGTCACAGTGACACAATCTTGAATATTAATTTTAAAATATCCCTATAATTAAGTTAGGCAAATATTTTAGTCAATTAGTCTTTGAATAGGATTTAAAATCTTTTTTTATTTGTCACTTTGCTCCAAAACGAAAAATAAAGGTAGTTTACTCCTGATAGTATTTTATGTTTTCTTGTTTTTTGACCCCCTGTATAATATTTTTAAATTTAAAGAATGGCAATAGACTTTTCAAAACAAGCAAAACTTTTATGAAAAATGACTTATGACGGAACTCCATAAAACTACATGAAAAATATTTGTTCCAAAATTGATTGTTTTAAAACCAACTTGCTATTTAATCCTTTAAAAAACTACATTAGTTTTAAAATAAATGTCGAGAGTATTATAAAACCAGTATAAGTTCAATAGGGCATTTAGAGTAAATAGTTTTTTTATTTATATTTTAAATTTATATTTAAATTATAATTTGAATTATTTGCTTGAGAATAAGTGGCCTCTAAGAACTTTTAGTTTATCTTAATGTTACTTTAAAACACTTTAAATAGGTAAATCAAAAGTATCTTAGAAGGTGACCAGCGAGGTCCTTATTGTGGTGAATTCATTTAACGATTTCAGACTTTTTATTTGAATGATGTCGATAAATTAAGTCAATCACTATTTGTAAAATACTTACCTATTTGTCTATTTTATTGAAGGCTTGTAGGTATATAGGTATATAAATGAAACAAATTGGGGTTATATGTGATAAATATTTATATTTTATAATTAAACATAATTTAACTGGTTTGTACGAGTTTGTAAATACAGACAATAGATTCAATAACGTTACCAGTTAAAAATATTTGTACATTTATTCTGAAATAAAAAAATTTCAAATTGTTTCATAGATTTACATGACATATTGTTTATGAACTGAGACGTTAATAAACAATACTTATTAATTTAGATACGTAAATTTTTTTTCGATACATAAATAAAAATGGGGGTTTGTACTGGGATTTGGGATTCAAGCATACAATTATAATGTAATGAAATAATTAATAATAAAACAGTCTCATGGTACATAGTGATGATGTATTTACATAGATTGCGACCATGTCAAAAACAAAAAATGGACAACATCTATAACATTACAGTGATATTTATTACATAACTAAGTTTTTTGTTTTGTATGTACAAATGTAAAGCTAGATACTGGCATCGCCAATGTCCATTGGACACATAATATTTATATTTATTTATATATATATATTTATATATAACACAGCAAACGTTTATATGTTGAGTTATCATTTACACACTTAGCTAATATAGTACAGGATACCTAATACTTAATTTTAATATTTTTTCTTCATCAAGTTTTTTTAAATAACTCTAATTTACACAGCAGCAGCGCTCGCCTACGGCTGGTGTATCACAGTATATGCATTGCCCCAATCCGTTTTTCACGAGAAAATATCCCTGTCGAAATGACAGTTGCAAAAACGTCATTACATGACCTCGCGAAACTCAACGAGCCGACCTATGATGCTAGCTACCTTGGATATCGTACGCAACACCTCGTCCGTCACTCTACTAGTTGACTAGTTATTTATTTTAATGAAAATAGGAACCTTCTAGGGATCATCTCAGGCGGCCAGGCCTTCCCTGGACGCCGGCATGATGTCCTCTCTAGGCGCCTCTGCCGCCGCCGCCTTTCTCTCGAAGTGAAGGTCCCACAGACCGCCGCGGCCCTCGGGTTCCCGGCTCGGCGGTCTCTCAGACCGCTCGTTCGGAGAACCCGCCTGAGATCGTAGCGCCTCCGGCGGCGGATAGCCGAAACCCAGCAGGCCGCTGTATTTGCCCGCGCCCGATATGCCGTTTTGATTGTTTTGGATTGCTGACATCTCGTTCAGCTAAAAAAAAGAAATACACTTAAAATCGATTTTTTGTTCGAAATTAAAAAAGATACAATTTTCGACTTAACTTTCTATACAAAGTGATAAACCAATAATATCGCGGCATTCTCTCATGTTCTATAGAATGTCAAGTCGCAAATTTCAAGAAATACCCCCCTGTATCCAATTATAAAATGATATTTGTCCTCAAAAAATATAAATTTTGTGGACTAGTTTAACACAAACATTAACATTTTTATTATTAAACCTCATTTTTCATAAATAAGAAAAATGTCCTTGTCCATTAAATGAATTAAATATTCATAAATCTAAAGGTCTCAGCACTAAATGAATTCAATTAATCCATTTTTTAGTATCTAGTGTTAATATATTCAATCTAAAATTTATTTAAATCAGGCAATTATGACAGTTTATTATTTTTATATTTTATATTATTACCCAAAATTTTAATATTCATGTCGTGTTTGTTTTTTTAATTAACATTCATACGACCTGCAGTCGTTCACAACAATATTTATTACAAAATCATTAATTTAATAATCGAATGTTTTTGACATTTCGAATGAAAAACACGATTTAATACGTTTATTAATTTATTTTATGCATATTCCAAGCGCTTTATGCGTATTTTAAATGGTAATAAACATATTTGCAACAATTGAAAATAAATATGTTTGGAATAAAATTTAATTAATTTCGGTACGTGAATATTTTGTAAAATCAGTTTTATTAAACTCCGAAACCAAAGTTCTATTTTAGCTTCATAAAAATAATGATAAAATTGTCTTAACTTGTAAAATACATTGGGTTGTTTAAAACTTTCCTTTTTGTATAATAAATCTCCCAAAACTGACTTTAAATGGACCTATTAATAGGTTTGTTTTGTTATTGCGCATGTTCCTGACGTTCATTTGACAGTCCAGTAGGAACAAGCCTAATATATGTCAAGCATTCATCTCGCTACTGTTACTTAACGCAATCTAGTATCTATACCTTTTGTTGCATTCCGTTAAGGAAAGGTGCCGGAAGGTACGGGTAAAAGAGGTCTGGTCTCCGCTGCAGAAATTCTGAATCCTTGGGCGTCATGGGGATGGGGGGCAGGTCTAGAGACATGCGACGTCCGCGTCGGGACGCTCCGTTGCTCCACATATGCGTTCCCATGTGAACCTAAGAAACAAGAAAGAATAATAATGATGTGTTCTTGGTTGTATAAGGCGATTTAAGTGGTGTTCAACAAGCCATATGCAACTGTAATAAAAATTAAAATTTCTACGGCGTGTTGTGTTATGTTAACAGTCCTGATAAGGATCACATTAAATGCTTTCTACTGTGTACTTTCTATATACATAATACAAGAGCATTTGGCTTGTTATTACACCTAACCAAAAACCAGATTAGTTATGCGTTAGTGAAGCTTTGAAAGCCTAATGGAGAGTTGAGGTTTTAGCTCATTTACTTTGAGAATCCAAAGTGATTAGAGCTGGTATGAGATACGTACCTTGAGGTTGCCCTTGGTGGTGAAAGCTTTCTGACAGACGGTGCATCTGAACGGTTTGTCCCCAGTGTGAGTGCGCATATGAATCTGTAGGGCCGATGACGAGGAAAAGTTCTTGTTGCAAACGTGGCACAAGTGCTTACTGGATTGTAAGCCTGCAAAACACACACACAGACACACGTCAGCCCACAACCAGCGAGATTTTGATTTTGATTTAATGTTAGTGCAAGCGATGAGGTGTTAAGTCTTATCGCCGGCCACATTTTATTTACATTAATGATACAAATTGTATGATATTATATGGGAATTACTTATGATTGGCATTTGAATTATGTTATTCCCACCCATATGAAACCATACAATCCTTGCAAAATTATGGACAGTTTATGCTAATATTGAGTTTACTTATTATTAGCACAACCGTCCGAAATTATTACAAGATTAAACCACAATGCCGTCAACTTACTTGGCGGGCGTTTCGGCAGCGGCAGCTCAGTTTCGGTGGGCTCTCTTTTGATCGGTTGCGGCTCCGGTTTGGGCTCTATCTGAGGTGGCGGTGGTTGAGGAACTTGGATCAGCGGCATCTGCGGAATTTGCTGGTGATGAGGTGGCTGGGGGGTTTGCGACTGCTCCCCGTCGCTTGTTGGCGGCTCGCGGGGCGGCAGGCTTGGCGGTAGGGGGGTGGAGTCGTCCCCGGAGATGGACGGGGGCTTGTTATCGAACATGTGCTGAGGCATGTCGCGGATCTTGTGAGTCAGCATGTGCTGTTTCATATTGCCCTGAAACATTGATTTGAGTTAGAGATAATTTTGGTTGCGGTATCGGCGGGTCTTACCGCCATTTGCATCCAATTTGAGGCGTATCCAGGCGTCATCGGCAAAGGGAATACAGACGGTACGGACTTGCGAGGGGCAGGTTTTCGTTTGCGAGCCCGCCAAGGCTCGGCTTCGTCCTGGATACGCCTCTGCTTGCACACACAACCATCCTGAAATACACACACATGGTCAAACAGACAGCACAAAGAAATCAACAGAAAAAACGACGATGATTTTGTTTTTATTTATTTATTTAAAATATATGACGCTATTTTAACGTATGTGTTGTGTATATCAGGTGAAAATGAGTAATTCAATAACCTCTACAAAACTAGTTCTTAACGTTTAAAGAACGATCGAACAGTTCTGCAAAGTCTACAAAAATCTCCATGCATTATTACCTTAAAATACATAAAACAATCTAAAAATACTAGATAGAATAGTTTATCTTGAATGACATCTAACAACCAATTAATATTTATATTTAACGATCCACTTTTCAACACATAACTAATTAATTTTATGAAAAGATCTCAAATATTATGACAAGTTTTATTAATATTAAAATTTAATGTAAATTAGCCATCGTAAAAAGAAGACATTAAATTATCTATTTCCATAAAAATACATTAATTAAAATCAAAAGAAACTGAGTTTTTAATCATTTTGTTGACATTTTTTTCAAATGAAGACCGGAGAACATAAAAAAGAGATTCTTAATCAAAAATAGACCACTTAGACATTCGACATAACTTATTATTGGCTCACAGCCAACGCGTTTAAATCGAGAAGCCTATTGTCTCGACATAAATAGTTCGGTCAATTCAATCACATGCATTTCACATAATTTATGACAATAAATAAACTACACTTAAAAATACAAAAATATCCACAAACTCTTAAAGAGAAAAAAGACTTACTTTTGTGGAGAATCCTCTATCGCAAACCGTGCATTTGAAGGGCCGCTCCTTGGTGTGACTTCTGTAGTGAATTTCTAGGGCCGAATGACAGGCGAAGGTTTTAAAACATAAGTTGCAGGTGGTGTTGCCTCTGCCCGCTAAAAAAAAATCATTTAGTAAAACGGCACGTTTAATAGGCGAATTTAAAATATAAATTTTTTTTAAATAGTTACCTGTTGGTCCAACGGCCAATCTTAGGGGACTGAAGGAGGTCGACGTCAATACTGAAGAGGTGAGTGAAGATAAGGCCGATGTCATCAATGGAGAATTTCCTGGGGTACCCGGGGGTAAAAGCCCGAAAGCGGAAAATAGAGATGGTGGAGGACCTGGACTAGGTCCTGGACTTGTCAATAAAGGTTGACTGTTATTTCTTGGTGTCAAATCTAGGGCGCCCATTGAATTGCAATCAGATGGCGTAGGGCTTCCGGCCTGTTGAGATGATGGTGGACGAGGAATCTAAAAGAAAATAATGTTATTAGTATTTAATTAATATTAAAAGTTTTTGTTGTGCTTACCTGGACGGGCGTGGTGGATATTTGGTTTGGAGATTGATCCGAACGTATTTCTGAACTCTCTGGACTTGTAACTCCCGATTGGCTTGGGGATTTTTCTCCGTTCTGCATTGCAGGCGATGAAGCTCTGTTTGAACATAAATCCTCAGCAGAGCAGTTTAGACCGCTGTTGGAGAACTGAGATGCTATCGCGTTGATGGGCCCTCCTGTGGTGTTGTTGTGGATATCCAATGGTGATGAAGAAAAGGGCGGCATGTTTTGGTGCTCGCTCATCATGTCCTCGTCGTCTTCGTCATCTTCATCCATGTCTTCGTCGTGATCGTCTTTGCTGTCGAACTTCATGTTCATGGGGAAGCCCGGACCGAGGGGCGATAGGCCGGGTACTGGGAAGCCCTGGCCGAGGAATGGGTGCATGGAATTGGGCAGGCCCGGAAAGCCGCCCGGTGAAGGAAAGTCTTTAACTTCGGCTGCCTGAATTTGCTCGGCAGTGAGATCGGTTGGTTCGCCGGTGTGCAGACGGATGTGTTGCTGGAGCACCAAGGCGTTGGTGAACTTTTTGTGGCAAACGGGACATTGATGGAGAACGCGCATCGGCGGCTTGGCGCGATGCACTCCCATGTGTGTTTTCAGATTGCCTTTTGTGGTGAATGCCCGACCGCAGATCTTGCATTTGAACGGCCGTTCGCCCGTGTGCGTCCTGTAATGCATTTGTAAGGCGCTTTTGCACGACAACACCCGGTGACATATTACACACTGATTTGGATCGCTTAGTTTATGTTCGATATTGTCAACGAGCTGCTGCAGTTTGCTGGTTTCGGATGTTTTAGTTACTTCTATTAGGCTCTCCCATGAATTATCATTGCTACCAGGCCGCGGCAATAAGTTGGTGTAAATAGAGGGATCTTTAGTAATATCAGCCAATGGCGTGTTCAAGAAAGGCCCCAGGCTGCCGGAAGAAGTGCTGCTCGGTGGAGAGCTAGCCAACTGTCCGAAATTAAAGTTGGCGGGCAAACGTTGCCCGGTCGATATACTTAGCGGGATATTAATGGAGTTGCTTCTGTGGTGCGACAAATTTTCCGGTTCTTCTTGCATGTTCTCTTGATTTTCCATGCCCGGAGTTCTACGTTCCATCATATCTTCATTGCTGTATTTGCTGTCGTTGCTGCATTCATCGTACGGTATGGGAGATGCATATCTTTCAGGCTCTTGATCGTTTTCATTATCGATATCACTAGGTTCTTGTTTTGGTAATATTTGAGGAACGTTAATTGGTTGCTGAATCTCTTCCTGTCCCATTTCAGTTGGTTTTTCTTCGGCAGGTTCTTCAGCTTTAGTCATAGGATGGTCTTTATTTGGTGTTGGAGATCTAGGAGGCTTGCTCAAATTTTCGGGAATGTCCTGTTCTTCCCGTTTCATGAACAAAGGATGCGGTGGGAACAACCTTTGCTGCGCTTCTTGTAAATGATGTGGCGACGGTGGTAGTCTGTTTGAGCTAAGTAATTCGTGCGGGGGCGGACCCTGCGGTCTATACAACGGTAAAGATGTAGGTGGAAAGGACGGTGCGCCCGGAAAACTCATATGCGGCGGATGAGACGGGCCGCCAGGTGATAAGGAGGGCTGCTGTCCCATTTGTGCCAGCAGGGGCGGATGGTACTTGTCTAAATGCTCCGGCACCGGATTAGGATTCATTTTGATATGAGGAAATTTTGCACTGTGTCTTTGGAAATGAACTTTTAAGTTTCCCTTTGTGGTAAATCGACTACCGCAAACATTGCACTTGTAGGGGCGCTCGCCGGTATGCGAACGGATATGTATTTGTAATGCAGAATCTGAGCCGAACACTTTGCCGCAATACCGACAGCGGTGCTTGAAGAACGGCTCGTTGCGACCCTTGGAATCGTACGGCGACATCGAGCCCCTATTTTTTCTGAACGCCAATTCGTCGGCTAAATTTGTTGCCAACAAGCCCTGACTCGCGTTGTCTAATACTTCTTGGGCGCGTTTCTGCAACATCTCAAGAGTGTTGGGCTCTTCGTGCAAGGGCTCGCTGCTGTGGGTTATGATTGTGGAAGCCAACGACGATGATATGGAACACGGCATCGGCGGCTGGTTCTGCAAAGGTAGCGACGTTGGAACGGACGAAATTACATCTTGCATTAATTCTGTGTGAGTGGGGGTGGCCATCATGGGCTGCGAAGTCGGAGGCGGCAGTGCGGGGGTGGATTCCCTCGATACTGTGACGGTCTGCGGTGTCGGCGGCAACTCGTCATGAGCAATGTCCGCTTCGTTTTCGCTTGGAGGCGGCGAAACCGGAGAACCGTCTTCGTCTTTGACTCTATCGATCGATAATTGCTGCTGTAACTGATTAATCAGCTGCAGTTGTAGCACTTGTTGATGTTGCAATGTAAACAAAGTCGATTGTAGCACTGCCAATTCCTGCAGTGCGGTTTCATTGTCCGTATTGTTTGCCATCGCGGTGGCGGCAAATTGAGCCACGGCAACTTTGGTGTTTTGTAATGCTTCGAGAGTGACGTGTCCAGGTGCGGCCGGCACTGGAAAAGGGAACCCGGTCCGTTGTCCATCGGCGTCAGGCGACGAATTCTCTTCTACGCTGTTGTTGTTGGCTGCGTCTTGGCGGTGACGTCGCATGCGTTCGGTTTGCTTACCGCCCGCAGACTCGTCATCCTCGTCGTCGTCTTCTTCGGAGACGACCATGTCCTCTGGGTCGGAATGTGCCGGGTCGTCGTGCTTGATGGCCTTCTTCTCGCATTCGGCTTTGTGCGTGAGGTACTCTCGCACATCGGTAAACTGCTCCTGACAGCGCTGGCACATGAGCACCTCAGGTAGATCGGCTGTTGTGGCGTTGGGTGCCGCATCGGACTGTGGCTGTGCGGCTACGGCCTGCACAACCGGGTTCAGGCCATCTGAAAACAAGACACTGTTGTTATAAGCTGTGGCGAGCTGCGAGTAGAACCGGAGGAGCAGAAACGTCTGTTCCGTCGAACACATCGCGCGGCAATAAACCAGGCTCCCTCCCTCACTATACTACGGGCCGACGAGAGATATTATTAAATGAGATATGAAAGTGGAGGGGAGCGCCGAGTTATGAAGGGGCATACGAGCAAGCGCGAGAGATGATAAACGGGCTGCTATCAACCAGCCACGGTCTCGGTTATGACAGCTGGGCGGCGTCGTGCATTCATAAATAAAACGCACTTGTTGCACACTCATAATCCCCGCCTATGGATACGCCCAGATTCCATATCCATAACGCATAACCAACGCTCAACACACTGACTGACAGGTCTGCTTGTTCAGCTCTGCTCTCTTCGTACATATGCGAGCGCGTTACCCTTTGTCCTCCGCGATATACGCTTTTCCCACCGGATTTTATTTTCATTTACGCTTACGCTACAAGCTCAGTCTTTGTCTCTTTCATAATTTTCGTAAGGCAAGCGTAGGAACATCAACCCACTATTTTAATTATTTTAGGTGAGCTATCGTCAACAATCAAGACGATAACGATCAAAAAATCTTTTATTCCTCATGTTAGTTCATTCATTCAGTTTAAAAATCCTGCCGTTCGACATTCTTTGCCTCTACACATACTTAAAAACACGAAATTGTTAATAAATTAAGTGGAATTTACATAAAACCGTAATTTATCCTAATCTTAACCGAATGTTTGTTGGTTATTTTTCAAAAATATGTGACAAAGTAGAGTGTCCAGTTGCCCAAACACATCTGGATAACCTATTCCTTTTTTAATGCTCCAAGTCAATTATCTGTTATTCCCAATTACAGCGTTCGGCCTATAATTTTTAATAATAAAAAAACTCAATTTTACGACTACAAAGTAGTAAATCCACCTTCGGCCCCTTTTATTAGTTTATAGATTTTATGCTATATAATTATTCAGATAGCCATAAAATAAATACAAATTTAATTGATTCCCTCTCAGGTCAAACGAAGAGTTTTTCTATTCAATCGATAACCGAGCGTAACATTAAAATATAAATTGTGTTCATTAATGTAAGTAGCTAGCCGCAGCCAACCTCTAAAATTAATTAATCAATGATAGTTTTCTACTAGTTCGACATAAACACCGCATCAAATTCCGTCCGTTTACTAATAACTACGGCCTTTCAATAAGTAATAAGTTAGCTGAGTGAGGGAAGATCGATACGATCGAGGCGCAAGGGTGGAATAAACACGAGAAATCGTGTGCGGCTTCGATTTTAATATTTGATTTTCGGGTCCGGTCAAATTAATTCGAACGAAACATCGCTTATCGAAAATTGTTGTTTGTTGAATTTTTAACCAACCCCACTGCAAAAATCTAGATAATGCAGAAGTGCTGGCTTCAGACCAAAGTCTTATACAGGGCTGTTTCTTAAAATTTGCTGTGCTCTGATTGGTTTATTATAGAGATTATTTCTATAAAAATTTCAAGAAAAACCACAAAGTGTTAATATTAATATTCCATCATTAGTTAAAGAGTTGAAAGGAGTTTCTTTGATGACGACCAGCGCAAAACTTTTGGCTTCATGCTGAGTAAATCATACGTTTTGGGATAAATCGTTTGTGAATGCTTGAAATAATTTGGATATTCACTCGCTTTCACGTCTACTTTGCTTCATACAAATCCCGGTGTATTTTTAGCCTGCGCTTTTCCACATTGTTGGTGTAAAGTTTGTTAGTGTCAAGGTAATTTAACAAGTCATCATAAATAGATTGGAGAGCATCTTCCAGCACGTGTAAAAGGGATCATGCGTTTTCTGTATATTTATATATGTTTGGGGATGCCTTATGACAGACAAATGGGTAGAGAAGTTAGGGGCACGAGTTCGCTACGCTAGACTTCCGCTTTTTCAGAAATATGGAAGCAGCCTGTTGTCATTTGGAATTCTCTGAATATTTAAATTACGCTTCCGCAATAAAACCGAGGGTATTATTGTAAGTTTTTTTTCCAACCCCCGGCACGCGAACCAAACAGCTTTTTTCTTCGTGTTTATAATTTTTTTGGGTTAGGAAGTCTGCGTTCAGCTGACGCAAGCCAGATTTTTGAGTATAAACGCTATTTGATAAGGAACATATTTGTTTTGTCTACTTTTACCATCCCTTTTAAACTGCTTTTTTAACATTTCCTATACAATAAATTTTATTGTAGTAAAAAATTAACATTTGGATTTTATACAGCCGTTAAAAGGAATCACAAAAGTAAATAAAAAAATATCATTATTTGGTTTAAAAATATAACCAAAATTATAATTAACTTAATGCGTTGATCATATAATTAAACCGAAACAAAATCAAAATTTGAATTTTATAAATTTTAAAATGTTTTTGTTTGCTAATTGATACAAGAGATAAATATATTTTAAAACCCGGCATATTAATTGGAAATTTGCCTAAATTGTTGTAAATATACGGGTATTTTTATTGATTTACGTTTTACCAATTCGTTTTGTTCGAAATAATCAACATCAAGCTAAAATTAGTCAGTCTTGTTTTATTTTTAATTAATCTCAATTTAAAAGGTATCTTAAACCCCTTTCTCATAATTTTCCTATGTGAATCAAACGGGGCTTCGCAAGATTAAATTTCCATATGAAGAAGCCAATTTGACATTCAATATATTATCGTCGATATAACGGAAACAGACAAAAAAACCAAAGTAACCGATATGTGTCAATGTTGCGGATATTTTTATCGTTGGCAGTTGATAAAAAAGATCGAGGTAGGTCAGGGTGCGTCCCAAATTAATCCAACGCCTTCTCTGCATTCTATGAAATGAAAATAGCTAGCTTTACTTGTATATTTACATATTGAGTTTTCAACTATATAAATTTGTCCGGGAATATTGTCAGTACTAAATTGGAAGATGGCGACTATAATAACATTTTAAATTGGTAAAAAATGAGGTTAACCATTTGACAGATTTTATTTAATAATTTTTAAAAATTATTTAATTATCCACTTATTGGAGTAGATAAAGTATAGTATTACACTCGAGATTATGCGTATTATCTCGTATAATAATATACTACAAAAATATATACAGTGTTTATTATACCTACTCTATCAAAACGTTGTAGACTTTGTTTTAATAAACATTTTTTAGGTCAAACTTTTTAAAGTCGTAAATTCAACATGATTTAAGAATGTAGTTTACATCTTTGAAATGAAAACGAAAACAGTGGTAAACATTAAAATAAACAGTCAGCGCACCACGTTATGGTGTATTTTTAATCTCAAATTTATTTTTGTGGGTTTTCGGAAAAATTCGACAAAAAGTCCACCAAATTTATTTCCGTAAATAATGCCTTGTGGCGTCGAAATCTCACAAAAAAAGAAAAGACGCTGTTTGTTAAATGACTCGTTGCTGTGGTGTCATTAACGTCAAATCTGTTAACATTTATTTTTTAAATTAGTCGGATTTATAATCGCTTTTATTGTCTATACAGCTGCTGGAAAATAATTGCCCGATTTTTTGGGACAACTGTTATTTTTCTAGAAATAGACCTAAAGCTTGAGATTATTAATCTTTATTGGATACAGGTTTTCAAGGATAAATCAACACATATTCCAATTATATTTATAATACAGCGTTTAATTGAAAATACACTAGAAAAACTCAATTAACAAAAGTTTCACTCAGGTCAACGTTTCATCGTGTTCATTGATGATGCAGTGACTTGCGCTTTCTTACAACGATGATGATGAAATTAATTATGAAAAACTGGTTGAGTTTATTTTATTAGCTTTGTTGTGTAAATTGAATAGACGTATTGAGAATATTGTCAAACATCCTCCCTTTCTAAAAAACCTTTTAAAACTACAATGATCTATTATTATGTCATTATTTGTGAAGTTGTCTCCAAAAACATCAATTATAGAATCATCGAAAAAATCATTTGGGCATGAACTAATAACAGGGACCCTTGTACAACATTTCTATAGTCTTACCGCAACAAATTTGTCCCCGATATTCTTTTATAATGAATGCAGGCACTACGTAATGCGATATGTTTATTCCTACCTGACCGCATAGGAATTGCTATACGAAATAATACCAAGACAAACAACAACTATATTTATGTCATTGTAATGTCATCGTACGCATTGTGTACTCAATATGCGCTGGATTATGCCCAGGTAGTTAGCTAACATCACCAAACATTTAATTTTAATGCTCCCTGAATCACTCCCAGTTTAGCTTTTACTAGACACCGAAGCAATCATAAATAGCATCTTAGATTTTATTCCTGTATTGAAATTCAATTTAAGAGAGTATTTTCGATCTTCGTAATCAAGACTATTCTAAAAATGGTGTTTTGTGGAATCTCAGTTTACAACTGTAAATTTGACTTTGCCACTCGAGCCCTTCGGGCAACAGGTTTTCGAAATGTGTCGAATTATTTTTAATATATTTTTATATTTATATTCAAGAGCTTTCTTTCTTTCAACCTGAGTTATTTACTAAATAGGATTTAACTAGCTTAATTAATTTTATTGATTACTGTTTAAAATAATCCTTTTCTAGAGTTTAAACCGAAAGTACAAGATTAAATTTAAATGATACCTTGAAAAATTGCAAATTCATTTTTTCGTTATCAATTGGATCGTGAAATGCCTAAAGTGACTGCACCCTGATTCCCTGGAAATCTTTGATCTGTTAAAGCATTTGCCAAGAACAAGTAAAAAATCGCAATTCGAACGCTTCAGGCCAGACGTGTGCAAAATTATCGAGATAATAGACATGCAAACCTTCTTATATGCTCCATTACATATTGTACTATATTTATTTTTCTTTACAAGACATGGCATTACAATTACAGTTGTTAAGATAAATGCTTGAGGTGAACTGATTTTTCATATAAAGAAAATGGTACTAGTTATTATTAAAATAATATGCTTCAAG